GTATAAAAATGTTAAGAGACTTAAACCAACCACAAGGTGGTGAAGCAAATGAAATGTCATATGACGACAAATATAGACACTTCTCCATGGCAAAGATGAGACAAGTTTTAAATATTTACAATAACCGTAAACAAAAAGGTTTGGGAAACCACTCCCCCGAAGAAATGAAAAACAACCCCGACTTAGAGAAAGACTATATATTTAATAATTTAGTCAAAAGAGACAAACAAGAAAGAATGCCGGGCTTCAAACTTCAGAAAGGTGACAAAGTAAAAATAGAAATACCCAAACGCGACCCATATGAAAATACTATTGACTATGACAACAATGGGAACCCGACAGGTACTCACATTCGTGTTCGTAAAAATAGAAGAAAGTATACAAGAGAATATTATGAAGTTTTAGGCAAACATGGCAAAATGTACACACTGCAAGCAGAAGATAAAACTACTATTGTCAGACCTCGTTTCAAACTTGTCAAAGTTCAAGGTGGTATACTTTCAAAGACAGTTCCTAACAAATATAAGACAACTCCTGACGAATATGCTAAAGAAGTTGAAAATGACGACTAAGCAATTCTATACCATGCGTAAACTGTCATGTAAGGTGGCATGTAGTCTTTACTTTGTCCCGTTGTTTGCGTATACCCTGAAACGCGATGTGTATGGTTTCCTCCTCCCTCAGTGTTACTCCAGAAACAATTTATAGCAAACTTAACGTTGTCTTTAACATCATATCCTTTACCTTTTGTCATTGCTGACCAATCCCAATATTTATGCTTATGCCAACCTGCTTGAGATGTACTTAAATCTATGTAGTGACTGTGTGCAGGTAAATTTTCACCTGAAATCGTTTTACTTCCACCTGTTTCCTTTGAAGAGTTTGCACAATACAAAAACCTGTCGACTATTTGAGTCCAAGTTCCAAAACCCAGAACTGTTTCTGGTCTGGTAGAGTTCATTGACGTATAAATAGAGCCTATAGGATATAATGTTTGAAGTATTTCTGTCTTTAATGTTTGAAGCTCTGTTTTGTCTGCTTTCTTGTCATATAAATCTTGAGCAGTGAATTTAATATTATGTTCATCCTTCATGACATAAACATCTTTACATCTAATGTTTTTCATCGTCGTTATGTCGTCATCCGATGTTAAACCTTGTGGAAAGTTAGGAGGTTTACAATATAATGCATCCCCACCAGTTTCTTCAACCGTTCCTTCAATACTTTCTATAGCAACAGTTGTGAAGAAATCATGTGTATGGTTCTTGTCTGCTTTCTTTTCAAGGCTAACGTTTAAGTCTGTTATTTCAGATATAGAATGTGTATGTCCAACGGCACTTTTCCTGTTTAAGGTTTCTTGTAAGTTTGTAATATTTGCAATGGTATGTGTATGTCCAACGGCACTTTTACTGTTTAAGGTTTCTTGTAAGTTTGTAATATTTGCAATGGTATGTGTATGTCCAACGGCACTTTTACTGTTTAAGGTTTCTTGTAAGTCTGTTATTTCAGATATAGAATGTATATGAGTCCTTTTAGAATATTCGTTTTCAGCTCTTGTCACTTCACTTGACATTTTATTGTCAACATATGTTTTGTCTGCTAGTTCAGGATGAGTATGTTCTTTTGTTGCATAAGCATTGTTAGCTCTTTCTTCTTCTTTTGCTATTGCATCGTCTACATATTCTTTGTCAGCTTTGTTGTCAACATCTGCTTTCAAAAGAAGTTCATTTATAGGTTTCTCGTTTAAAGTTCCTTTTGTTGGATTTATACAGACAGTATGGTTCTTATTGTCTTGAAACAGAAACTCATCTGTCATTGGGTTTATTGTCAGTTTTAAGTTTCCTTCTTTCAATGACTCAGATATCTTAGAATAGTTTGAAAAGTTTGTTGTGTTCTTATTTAGAGCTTGCATAATGAGTTGTCGGTTGTGTTGTATTTCTCTCATAGACGCTGTTTCATTTGACATTTTTATTCTAGATAAAATATGCTTCCAATAGAAAAAGAAAATTCAAGAGTTGCTACAACTAAACCATTAGATGAACTTTTTACTAATGTCGGTCAAAAGTTTGAGACAGAGACCGTAAAGCATGAAGGCTATCGTTTTGACTACCCATTAAGATGGTTAAGAGACCCATCTGTCACAAAAGCTATTGGCTTTCGTAGAATGAAGTTCATTTCAGAAGCCATACATGGTTTCCCATTTACGGTCGGTTTTGAAGTTCGATACTATAACAAAGAAAAACGTATGTATGAGAAATTTGAACAGGGAAAACTTTTACAAGTTAGTTTGCTTGTAAACTTAGAAACAACTCTTCAAGCTTTTCAAGAAAAAATAAACAATATCTATATCGAATATGCAAACCAGTATAACATTGACGAGGGAGAATACCATCTCGATATTATTTATGACAGGAAAAATGCAACTGTTAAAATCAATAAAATAGAAGACCTTGGAGAAAACGTTTATATTTCTACAAAATATAACAACTTGGCATGGTATAGATTTATGAGGATGTTAAATCAGCCTGCAGCATATCCAGTACACCCAGACTTTTATGAAGTCGAAAACCCTAATGGAACATATGAAAATGTTTTCGACCAGCTGCTATTATTGTTCATGCTTCATTTTCTGGCGCCCAAACTCTTTCTTATGCTTGGCAAATGACTTTTACGAAAAACCTACAAAGTTATACGAACCACCAAGTGGAAGTATTTCAGACTTTCAAGTATGGTTTACTACAGATGGAAGAAAAAGAATAATTCCATTATACCATGCGTTTTACTTAGAACTTAGTTTCATATACAACTACTATCGAACGGTAAAAATATAATTTTTTAATACGGTTGAGGTGTTGGATTTGGTTGCCAACTAGACTGTGGTGCAGGTTCAGGCTGTTGTATAACAGGAGCTTGTTCTTCTGGTTCAGGGTCTTTAGGTATAATACCAACAAACTGACCTACTCTTTTACCAATATTTTTGACTCCGTTCCAAATTCCTCTTCCTACGGTTTTTATTCCATTCCATATACCTCTTCCAACTCTTCTGAAGAAGTTTCCAATACTACTGAAGAAACCCATTTTACTATATGTAAAAATCTAATGTCCACCTAGTCTCTTACGTTTCCTGTTGAGTTCCATAGCATTCTTTAACTGGAGCTCATACATTCTGTTTCTCCTCTGGTAGAAAACATATTCTGGGTCAACTCCTGTGTTCGCGTCATCTGCATAAAGTTGTTTATATCCCACTTCAGGGTTTGTATAAAACTCTTTCCATCTCATATTTGCATACCATGGTGGCAAACCTAACGCAGCGTCATTTGACATGGCAGTTTGCATTTGTACATCTGTTGGCACTTGACCATAGTTTGCCATTGCAGTTTGTATTCTAACTTCATTTGGAATATTCTCTGGGTTTGGTTGTCCAGGTTGCTGTGCATTCGCTAAGTTCTGTGCGTCCATTTAATATTAGATAAAAATATCTCTTACGAGTACATATACTGAACATTTGCAGGCATTGGTTCATCTTCATATTCTCTATATCTTTCTGCCACGTCAAAGAAATAAATGACACAATGGAAAAAACCTAAAACAAGTAGTCCTATTTCAAACCACATTTACTTACTAATAAAATTTCTTTGTTATGACACTTTCTCCGGTTTATAGGACCTCTCTCATATTCTATCTTGTCATATCTAAACTCATAGTCATGTATGTCCTCTAACCATCTCATAACGGTTTCCAAACCACTTTTATCGGATGTAAAGTAAAAGCATGGATGGTTATGTAAAACGTCTAAAGTTTCTAAAGAGTCTCTCAAAGTCCAGTCTACTTGGTATTGAAAATCCCATGTGTTATAGAACGGCGGGTCCACTATAAAGAAAACATTTTCCTTGTCTTTATATTTTTCATACAACTCTGTCCAATGACATCTCACAAACTCTATACCCTCAATATATTTTTCTATGTCCTCTTTGAAAACATTTGTATAGTTAAGATATAAAACTTTTGACATAAGTGTTTCAATGTCATGAACTCTTATAGAACCACTATATAATAGTCTAGCAGATATACTATCCCAGTCTATATATTCTGCTTTTTTCAAAACCTCTCTCACAATATTTTTGTTATCTAATGGTATACGTTCCATCTTACCTATAGGTATCTTTTCTTTTAACTCTTTCAATATATTGTTTGTGTCTGGTATATGTTTGAGACGGTCCATATAGTTGTCGAAGTCATTGCATATAATCTTTGAGTCTGGGAATATTGTATGGCACAAATGGGATATATAGAAACTTCCACCGAACAAATCTACAAATGTTAGACCATTCGGTAGTTTCTTAAGTTCTCTCAATATAATATCTTTACATTTACTCTTATTTCCAAAGAACGGTAACGGTGGTTTTGTAAAATTCATTTATATATAATAATAAAAATGTTTTTACCCGAAAAGTGACAGAAAAGTAACAAAACATGAAAACATATATAATTTGTGAAAAGCGACACATTATATAATGTTTTCGACCCAGAAGACTAACAATTTTCCGAATAAAAACTTCATTTATACTAAACATCTTCGGGAAGCCCTCCGAATAAAAACTTCATTTATACTAAACATCTTCAGGGCTAGAGGGCACGAAGTGCCTGGAAGCCCCACTACCTTTTTTTTTGTAAAATCATTCTTCGTAAAGATAATATCACTGATATATGATTTTAAATTTTTAGGCGATTATTCATTTTAAGAGAATGATTTTACATCATTCTGAAAATATACCGGCGTATTCAAATTTGCGAGCAAATATAAATTAATAATAAGATGAGATGATATGTAAGTATAAAATTTCTGGTGATAAGTGCGATGGCGAATTTTTGAATGGAAGCCTTTTAATACTATAAATATAAATATCTTTAACATTATCAGTTAATCTAATTAACATTATTCAGAATTACATGAATTTGAATGAATCTATTGAATAAAATTTAACAAAAGCGTATATTAAATGAATTCCACTGCTGAAGAATCTAGACATTCCAGAAGGCTCACCTTTACTCCAAAAGAAGATAAGAAACTGATGAAACTTGTTGCAAGTTGCGGTTCTTCAGTAAATTGGAAGACAATCTCAATTGAAATGGATGGAAGAACTCCAAGACAATGCAAAGAGAGATATAATAATTACTTGAGCCCAGAAATTAATAAGGCGCAGTGGACACCAATAGAAGATAAAGTTATTATGGATGAACATTTCAAGAGTGGAAATTCTTGGCAAAAAATTTCTGGAATGCTATCAGGTAGAACCGCTGGTTCAGTTCGTAACAGATACTATTATCTCATAAGAAGAATGGGAATTCCTGAAGCTAGTATAGCAGTTAAGAACATTGCAGACGAATTGAATAGAACTGATGATTTCAAAGAATCGGAATGCGAAGTAGGCTACAAAGGACCAAAATTTAATATTTTATCAGATTCAATATTTGCTGAAGCAAAGTAGAATAAAATTGTTTATATTTAAAAGGAATTTGTTGTCAATTCTTTAATTATTTCAACATTTATTGAATCTAACTCTTGGAAAAATTTGGATTTTAAACTAAAAAAAATGTCTATATCTAAAAGTGATGACAGAATGTTAATTGAAAAACTACATGCATTATTGGTAAGCTCAAACAATTTTGTATGATTATTTTTCGATTTTTTTCGAAAGAAGTATAAATATTCTAATGTATCAGAATAGTTTTGATAGATATTCGAATAAACAACAAAGATTTTAAATTTAAAAAGAGATAAAAAAACAAAATGAATTAAATTTTGAGTTAAATTAATCGTGATAATTCAATAATTGGAATATATCTGATGGGTCGATGTTAGGATTATAGTCTTTTGATTCAATTTTATCATTTTTAATAGAATTTTTTGATTTTGATGCTGGATTTATTTCTCCAATAAAAGGTTGAATGGTGTTCCAGTTCTCGGTGTACCAGCAAATTAGAGCAGTTTTATTCCTTCTTGCTAATCTATCGAGAAAGAGACCATGTTTCTTTGCCATGAGGTTTGCAAAGATTAATAATGTGTCAATTGTGACTTTGCCATTGAATTGACTTTCAAGAATTGCTTGAACAAGATCCATTTTAACACCATTATTTTGGATTCTCATGAGCATTTCATCATGATCCTTTAGGTTTTGCTGTGAAACCATTGTGAACTTCCTAAGTTTTCGTGTGGAGAGAACATCATAGATATATTGCATCTATCAAAAATAGATTCTCAATATATTTAAATTTTGAATGGTCTTTAGAAAATTTAAAACCGTTGTCAAGAAAAATAGATATTAGATAATATTGCTAAATAAAGAATTTTTGATTAGATTGATAAACTGAACAAATTAAATTGAATGATTATTCAAGAATAACTTTCACAAAAAATTATGAACTAAAAATTTAAGATATTCAGAATTTTGATATATCAATTTTGAGCAAACAACTAAGAGCATGCATACTAGATTCTATTTAAAATGATATTTGCAATATAAATAGCAAAAATATTAAGATTTGACATCAAAATGAACAAATTAGATTTTTGGATTCAAAATTCGATCACGGAAAATGATTCATCTATTTTTGGATTTTTGATAATATTCAAAAATTGAAAGTCAATATTTGCACCTAATCCTTTCAAAAAAAATATTGATATATATGAAAGAGTTTTAATAATTAAATAATATTTAATGAAAAAAAAATATTTCATAAACGAATTCATAAAACTTCTGAATTTGAAATGATCAATAAATAACTGAGATCTATGTGTTATAAGAGATTGTACATCATTTCTCAATATGTGAATTCTATGTTAATTCAAATTTTAAAACGCACCAAAATACTTATCCCAATCTTACATTTAATATGACCTGCATTTTATTTTCAATACTGCCATGTTTTTAAATTGAATAGTTAAATTCACAATTCTCAAATCTCTCAAAAACAAATATCGACCATTTAATTTCAATAGTTTATATTTACGATTTTGAAGTGATTATTCGAGAAATATAACACAATTGCTGCGCCTATTAATCTTGCATTTTTGATTTAATTTTTATTATGTTATTCTATTTCAATTACCTTTTATTTTATATCCACTATTTATTTAACCGTATATGGTCACACTCCCGATATGTTGGGCAATCATCATTATACAAGTTTTTAATTCATATTAACTTCCAAATGATCTTAAAAACTTCATTGAAATTAAAAAATTATTAAGAACATTCTTATGAGTCATACTTTGTCTTTTTGTTTTTGATTCATTTCACATGTTGTAAATGAAAATTTCGGTTATTCTTATCACTGCAAAAAATTAAATTGCCTTTCTGACAAATCACATTAATTTAAATTTAAATGAATACACTCTAATTCTTGAATGTTATCTGCTCACACCTCAAAACCAGAGTGGAGGTACTTCTATAAATTCAAATATAATTTAACCTAACATTTATGAATAAAAATTCTTTATTTATATAATTACTCTAATGTTGGTCAAGTATCACTATATAAATCACTAATTTTTGGAAATCAGTTTCTCAAAGAATATCATTAATATTTTATACAATTTTTTAATATTATTCTTTAGCAAAAGTTTATAACATATAAGATGAGCAGCAAAATATAATAAAAAAACGATTTTTAAATAATCGCAATTTTAAAATAAATTTTTTCTTGGTAGTTAATGCAAATAATTTTAAGAATCATCAGATCAAATCTATATATATGAGTTTTTATATTAATAATTATTATGGGCAGATGGCACTTTTCGATAATTGAAATTTTAACAATAGAGTTTTTTTATGAACTCTTTAGTTCAGCAAATAATTGAATTAATTCAGCTGTAGCAGGATGCCTACGAGGGCCAATCCTTCGTAGATAAGCAGAATTTTCAGGAATATACATGAACAAATGATCGTGATCATTGTATTAAAAATGATAAATTATTGATTATACTCTCATATTAATATTAAATCATTAAATAAAAAATTTTCATAGATATTTGATAAAATTGATCGAATTTATGAAAAAAATGTTCGAAATCAGCTTTGTTAACTTCTATTCTAATCGTTTTCATACAATAAGTTTTTATTAAATTCGTGTAAACTTCAGAATAATTTATTTTGATAATAATTGATTTAACGGAATTCAAAATTTCGTAATAAATTCTTGTTTAATAAATTAATATATCATTTTAACTGAAAATAAATATGATATGAAAAACAATTCAATGGCCATTTCAAAAATTTGATTTGGCCGATTTTAAATGCAAATGAATTTTGCATTCTGATCATTCAACAGCTCCTGCTTGAAAATGCAAAGCAATAAAAATTGATTTATTATCAATTTTTATATTTACCGTTTCATTTCATTTCACTTTAACAATGGTTTCGATGAAGGCTGTCGATTATATTAAAACCGAATCACTGGTTCGAAAGATTGTCGCCATATGTGCATTTCTATTCATTGGTGTTGGAAGCTTGGGATTCTTAATTTACTACTGCATATGGACCGATAAATGGGATGAATTCCCACGTGAATTTAGAAACGACAGTTTCAAGAAGATATTTGGTGTATTAGGAACTGCCCTTGCCCTTGCCATTGCTACTGTTGCCTGCTACGGAGTTTGGATTATTCTCTTCAATTTGATATTCTTACTCTATTCCAAGGACTCATTTTCTATGGTGCTCTTGGTGTTTCCATTGCATTACTTGTATTTGGCTTAACACTTGCGATCATGGTCAAATCTAAGCCGAAGAATGATCTCTCAACATGTCAAAAGGCTGGTTTTGTATATATTCACGATTGGTGCCAAAATACATTCCCACAAAGTCTTTCATTCTTCATTATCCTTCTCATTGGAGATGTTTTAGCTGTTGCTCTTAAATTCTTCTTATAAACCTTATTATTTAATGAAAATTTTATCAATATTCTGTCTATTTTGTTATTAAACAAATAAATGACTCAATGTCATAATTGTTTGTTGGATCTTGCAGCTCCAAAAAAATATTGAAATTAGATTTTATGAAATTAGATAGAAATGTATGTGCCGTTGTAGTTTGTGTTATATCGCCGAAAATCCAGTACTCTATGAGGATTCTGATTTTGAAATTGTGGGCTCTAAAATTTCTTTTTCAAAGGATAGAATGTTGTTTTCATTCAATGAAAATATATTCACTATCCACATCAGTCTATATGGGAACAAATTGCTATAAATAATTTCCTCTTAAGCTCGATGGATAGCAAGATAGAGATGATGAATATCTCCTAAAAATTGAAACCGCTATCTAAATTGATAAGAAATTTAAGTGGAACCTTTAAGGGATCATTGCACGACCAAACAAGACCTATCGTCTTATAAAAATCTTCATCGAGTTGATGTTTTACTAAGGCTAAAAATTCAATAAACTCGAAAAAAAAATAAGTTAGGGTCATTTGAATCCCTACAAGAAAAGTAATTCAATGAATGATCATATATAGTTGCGTCGTTTCCAGTGGAAACGTAAAAGCGGAGGAAAATCTGACACTAAAATTTTTCTCTCCTTGGTCTCCTTTTTTCGATTTTCTACGATATCTGTTTGAAATAAATAGCTACTTATGCGACATAATATGCAGAGAAATATGTGTACAATATGAATGCATAGCAAAATCTATGACATATTAAGTTTTTCTTCAAGATTTCGAAATCTTAAGGTCTGAAAAAATCTCGGATTTCGACGCCGCTTATGATACATATGAAATCAATACTACTAATACGTAAATGTAGTATGCTGCGTTTGATCTAAAGCACTTCTAATGTTAGAGAAACACTGACTTTTGTTCACCTTTTTTCAGAATCAGTATATAAATAATAGAGTATTGACATCAATACTATAGCAGAATTTATACATTCATATATATTACTCATATAGTGCACTATATGATTGTACACGTTTTAAATTCACTTATTGAATATTGGTCGAATCGTCCTCAAGTAAAAGTCATCGTCTTAATTTGTCAAAAAATTCAGAAGTAGGTTTCTTGATTCAAGTTTCAAAGATTCTAATGCAACATACAATGCATATATGCGATATAATATATGTTTATATAGTATTGATGTCAATACTCTATTATTTATATACTGATTCTGAAAAAAGGTGAACAAAAGTCAGTGTTTCTCTAACATTAGAAGTGCTTTAGATCAAACGCAGCATACTACATTTACGTATTAGTAGTATTGATTTCATATGTATCATAAGCGGCGTCGAAATCCGAGATTTTTTCAGACCTTAAGATTTCGAAATCTTGAAGAAAAACTTAATATGTCATAGATTTTGCTATGCATTCATATTGTACACATATTTCTCTGCATATTATGTCGCATAAGTAGCTATTTATTTCAAACAGATATCGTAGAAAATCGAAAAAAAGAGACCAAGGAGAGAAAAATTTTAGTGTCAGATTTTCCTCCGCTTTTACGTTTCCACTGGAAACGACGCAACTATATGAGGATGCAAAGAATTAAAGTATATATATATCAGCTGGAAAGTGATTTATAATTTCTATAATGTCATTGATTCCATTAAAAAAATGTTTTGTAATGAGTGATTTTTTTTTTGGATATATGAAATGATATTTTCACCCTTGCTCAAATCATATACTTGAAATCAAAGAGTTTTCAAATTATATGTATACACTGAGATGAGTGTCCTTTGTAAATTAAAATCTGCATCATGAAAAATTCAAATGATTAAACTGAATAAATGTAATCAATTTCAGCTCGAAATGCATAATGTTAAATGATATATATTTTAGGGCAATCTGTACCAAATTGGAATTCCAAATTAAATTATCATTGTCTGAGGAAAAATGCAAAAATTCAGAGGCAATGCAATATTATAATGTTACCCATATATTTTGGAGTAAAAAATATTAAGGTTAAAACGTGCGGAGCAATGATTTGAGAAAAGCGATTATTTTTCCCTCAATGTGCCACGATTGCACACATCAAGATTATTGATATTTTTTAAATGAATGGGATGTACTTCTTATGGTTACTTAAAAAAGTTTATCAGTAAGCAAAAAACAAGATCAGTATCTGACAAATAGTATATCTCAATTTGAGGTAAAAATAATCGTTTTTTGTTGTTTTTAGCTTCTAAAATAAAAACATAAATTGTATTCTGGTGGCATAGATTCATCTATTTAATTAATCCCACACATTTTGAAATCCAATTGTTTAAATTCGAGAAGAGAATTATAATCCTTGGTCTTAACAATGTTAGAAAGCTAATAAATATTGCATTACTCATATTATTTTTGAATGAAAAGTGTTTTAAATTCTTGCATTTCTTGGCTTTTATTTGCCAAGAAATGGTTCTCAGAATTAATTCCGTTTTTAATTAAAATTTCTCTTATTGTTATTAGCTTGTAAACAAGATGTCAATGCTATTTTTCATATACCGGGGAAAATTTCAAACCCATGAAGATTTTTTTTATCTACCATTTAATTAGTATTAAGTAAACTCTTTAAAAATGAATGTTCAGAGTTATTCAAATTTGCATCTCAAATCATTATTTTTTGAATACTCGGAATAGAAGCACGGTTTATTTCAAAAAAAATGAATATTGAAATGGAGCATATTTCAAAAAAATTGAAAGTACTATACAAATTATTTTACAACATGATATTGTATTTGATAATCTGGTTTAGTAATTCTAATACAGTATTATTATATAGCAAACTCGATACAAACAAACTGGGTGTTATCAGAAATTATGAAAAGTTATCCTCCATGGATAATAAAGATGATATTAATGCTTATCATATAGTTACTAATAATGTTTTTATTATCCGATTGTCAGTGATATTCTTTTTCAATAATATCGTGGTCTTTCACTTTATGGTTATGGGACAGCCTTATAAAATCAAGAGCTATTCAATACTTGAAACTATTGGAAAAGGTACATATGCAAAAGTTGTCCGAGCGTTTAACGAAAAAACATCCTCTTACGTGGCAATCAAGATTATCAATCGTCAAGAAGTTCAAAAAATGAACATGATGAGATATCTAGAATCTGAAATTAGACTTTTACAAATCCTTTCGCATTCTTCTCTCCCAAAAATTCATGAAATAATCTACACAGAAAAAGAAATCTTTATTGTTATGGAATATTTCCCGAATGGAAATATGGCCGAGATTCCAGATAGTAGAATATACTTTACTTACAAAGAAAGGTTTGAAATTGTTCTTAAAATTGCAGAGTGTTTAAATTATCTCCATGAAAGATCAATATCCCATCGCGACATTAAACCAGAAAATATAGTATTTGATGTTGCAAATAATCCAATATTAATTGACTTTGGACTCTCAATTGAAAATCACGAATCTGAGACAAGTACTTTTTGCGGTTCTCCAACGTACATGGCTCCAGAAATTATCACAAATAAGCATTACGATAGCAAAAAAGCAGATATTTGGGCATTTGCGGTTACAGTCCACTTCTTTATGTCAAATGAGTTGCCATTTGATTATAGTAGTGAAGCAAAGTTCTTGAATGATATTAGAAAAGGTAAATTAGTCATAAATAATAAGTGTTCTGGAGATTTGAAAAATTTATTAGATAGATGCTTCAATCTTAACCCAGAGCAAAGACCAACTATAAAGCAAATTGTTGAAAGTCTCGAATCAATGCGTGTTGATAGAATTAATTCTCATCTCCCACAATTGAACGAAATAACGAGCAGAAAACTCAATAGATCAAAGATTGATAAAAATGCCATGTTCTTTGTGAATAATCATAATAGATATAGGCTCAGAAAGATTCAGAGCATGTGAATGTAATGTTTGTTGTTTGATTGCCGATACTATAAAATGTTGTTTTCTATTTAACTAAATTTATTTAACTTATCATCGTTTTTGGATATGTAAATCATATACCAATTATATAAGCATGGAATTTCCAAACAATTCACATAGAAATACAATTCTGATCATAAAATAAATGATTTTGATAGAAAGTCGTGGTTAAAAAGAATAATAGTTTGAATTCAAGTTTCATTTGTGAAGGAAGTGTATTTAATTGCCAAACAATTTCACTTGAAAAGTTTATTTTTGTGAAATCATGAAATTATATAATAGAAGAAAACTTAGATATTGATGTAAAAATATTTTTCAATAGGAATATATCAATAATTAAAAGGAATACTGTTTAAGATATGGAGTAGGTGCCAAAAGTGCTTACTCTTAAACAACCGTCGGATTTCCGGGTGAAATCGTGACACACTTTCGTCTTTCGTAGGCGGTGGTGGTTGTTACAAAAGGTAACTTCGAATGTAGCGTGAAATCTGCAAAAAAAATTCTGAAATTTGAATGGATAACACAAAAATTGAATAGTTTACGTCAATAAAAAAGAGAAAAATGAAGCCAATGTGTCTCGAACCTAAGACTTAGAGCAGCAATCCAACTGTTTATCCCATTACACTACATGCATCTCTCACCTCAGTGAATGAGATCAACTATATGATAACTTTTTCCCCATTAGATTCTTGTGGAAAAGTGACAAATAGCAACTTTGACCCTCTCTCTTTAAGATATGTAATAATTTTTAAACACCTTAAATTATTTAATTAAATGAGAAATGATAGATGAAATTGTTGCATGCTAAGTTCGGTCAAAATGTAAACCTCTCAATTTTATCGTCGGGGGAAGTAACTCAATTCCTTCAAAATTATTCTTTAAATATTGAATTTAAAGTTATTTAATTTGGATTATAAATAAATAGGCTAATACAATATTTAAAAAAAAAAAAAAAGGTAGTGGGGCTTCCAGGGCTGCGCCCCTCTAGCCCCTGAAGATGTTTAGTATAAATGAAGTTCTTATATACGGGTCTTCCAGGAGCTTTTCACAAATTATATATGTTTTCATGTTTTGTTACTTTTCTGTCACTTTTCAGGAAAAAACATTTTTATTATTATATATAAATGAATTTTACAAAACCACCGTTACCGTTCTTTGGAAATAAGAGTAAATGTAAAGATATTATATTGAGAGAACTTAAGAAACTACCGAATGGTCTAACATTTGTAGATTTGTTCGGTGGAAGTTTCTATATATCCCATTTGTGCCATACAATATTCCCAGACTCAAAGATTATATGCAATGACTTCGACAACTATATGGACCGTCTCAAACATATACCAGACACAAACAATATATTGAAAGCGTTAAAAGAAAAGATACCTATAGGTAAGATGGAACGTATACCATTAGATAAGAAAAATATTGTGAGAGAGGTTTTGAAAAAAGCAGAATATATAGACTGGGATAGTATATCTGCTAGACTATTATATAGTGGTTCTATAAAGAGTTCATGACATTGAAACACTTATGTCAAAAGTTTTATATCTTAACTATACAAATGTTTTCAAAGAGGACATAGAAAAATATATTGAGGGTATAGAGTTTGTGAGATGTCATTGGACAGAGTTGTATGAAAAATATAAAGACAAGGAAAATGTTTTCTTTATAGTGGACCCACCGTTCTATAACACATGGGATTTTCAATACCAAGTAGACTGGACTTTGAGAGACTCTTTAGAAACTTTAGACGTTTTACATAACCATCCATGCTTTTACTTTACATCCGATAAAAGTGGTTTGGAAACCGTTATGAGATGGTTAGAGGACATACATGACTATGAGTTTAGATATGACAAGATAGAATATGAGAGAGGTCCTATAAACTGGAGAAGTGTCACAATAAAGAAATTTTATTGGTAAGTAAATGTGGTTTGAAATAGGACTACTTGTTTTAGGTTTTTTCCATTGTGTCATTTATTTATTTGACGTGGCAGAAAGATATAGAGAATATGAAGATGAACCAATGCCTGCAAATGTTCAGCATATGTACTCGTAAGAGATATTTTTATCTAATATTAAATGGACGCACAGAACTTAGCGAATGCACAGCAACCTGGACAACCAAACCCAGAGAATATTCCAAATGAAGTTAGAATACAAACTGCAATGGCAAACTATGGTCAAGTGCCAACAGATGTACAAATGCAAACTGCCATGTCAAATGACGCTGCGTTAGGCTTACCACCATGGTATGCAAATATGAGATGGAAAGAGTTTTATACAAACCCTGAAGTGGGATATAAACAACTCTATGCAGATGACGCGAACACAGGAGTTGACCCAGAGTATTTTTCTACCAGAGGAGAAATAGAATGTATGAGCTCCAGTTAAAAAATGCTATGGAACTCAACAGGAAACGTAAGAGACTAGGTGGACATTAGATTTTTACATATAGTAAAATGGGTTTCTTTGAAGAATAGGAAACTTCTTTCGAAATGTTGGAAGAGGTATATGGAATGGAATAAAAACCGTAGGAAGAGGAATTTGGAACGGAGTCAAAAATATTGGCAAAAGAGTAGGTCAGTTCGTTGGTATTATACCTAAAGACCCTGAACCAGAAGAACAAGCTCCTGTTATACAACAGCCTGAACCTGCACCACAAGTCAAGTTGGCACCAAATCAACACCTCAACCGTATTAAAAAATTATATTTACCGTTCGATAGTAGTTGTATATGAAACTAAGTTCTAAGTAAAAACGCATGGTATAATGGAATTATTCTTTTTTCTTCCATCTGTAGTAAACCATACTTGAAAGTCTGAAATACTTCCACTTGGTGGTTCGTATAACTTTGTAGGTTTTTCGTAAAAGTCATTTGCCAAGCATAAGAAAGAGTTTTGGGCGCCCAGAAAATGAAGCATGAACAATAATAGCAGCTGGGTCGAAAACATCTTTAAATAAATAGGTCATCTCTTGCATATCGACTGTAAATATTTGCTAAAGGAAGTTCGACTTTCTGATTTAACATTCTTTGCAAATAATACCATGACATTGCAGTGAATTCTGTATATATTTGTTCGTCTTTCTTTGGATTGTCTTCGTAGATTTGAAATACACTTGTGAATTTTGTTTGTCATATACAATTCTCACATAAAAGTGTGCTCTCGGTATTTGCATATTCATCAGCATATTTTGCATAACATGAATTTATTTTATCTTCTATATTTTTTAACGCAGTCTGTAGAGAAGATGAAAGGTCAACTTGTATTAGCTCAATTTCTTCCCACATTTTTCGTTTCCCTTCAGATATATAATCTATATGAAACCTTACAATAAATGGAAAACTTTTATCTTCTACAGACACAAACTTCATTCTACGAAAGCCAATAGCTTTTGTGACAGATGGGTCTCTTAGCCATCTTAATGGGTAGTCAAAACGATAGCCTTCATGCTTTACGGTCTCTGTCTCAAACTTTTGACCGACATTCGTAAAAAGTTCATCTAATGGTTTAGTTGTAGCAACTCTTGAATTTTCTTTTTCTATTGGAAGCATATTTTATCTAGAATAAAAATGTCAAATGAAACAGCGTCTATGAGAGAAATACAACACAACCGACAACTCATTATGCAAGCTCTAAATAAGAACACAACAAACTTTTCAAACTATTCTAAGATATCTGAGTCATTGAAAGAAGGAAACTTAAAACTGACGATAAACCCAATGACAGACGAGTTTCTGTTTCAAGACAACAAGAACCATACTGTTTGTATAAATCCAACAAAAAGAACTTTAAACGAGAAACCTATAGATGAACTTCTTTTGAAAGCAGATATTGACAACAAAGCTGACAAAGAGTATGTCATTGAAAAAGTTCAAGAAGAACATGACAGAGCAGATGCAACATATGCAACAAAAGAGGATGTTGAAAAGAAAGCTGACAAAGAGTATGTTGACGATGAGTTAGCATATCTGGCTAGTGGGTTAGTGAAGAAGGCAGATAAGGAATATGTGGATGAAAAAGACAATGAAATTATAAAAAGGGTTGAATGGTACCATGAACGGACATCGAAGATTTTAGAAGGTAAAGCCAATACAGGGTGGGTTTCAGGATGTTTAGACCTTAAAGCCGACAAAGAAACTGTAGATATGTTGACACAAACGGTTTCAAGTCATACCAGAGGTTTAATGGAAGATGGACAACAGTTGAAAGAGCTTGAGAAAGGTGTTACAGAGTTAAGGAATACAAAAGCAGACTCGACATGGATAGCTGGATATGTAGATGCAACAAAAGAACGTATTTTAGCATGGACAGAAGGAACATACCCACAAAAATATCATAGACATAGCATCTCTGACGTAAATGAACTTGAAGAAAAGTTATATAAAAAAGCAGACAAAACAGAGCTTCAAAACATTAAAGACAGAAATACTTTCAAACATTATATCCTATAGGCTCTATTTATACGTCAATGAACTCTACCAGACCAGAAGTAGTACTTGGTTTTGAACTTGGACTCAAATAGTCGACAGGTTTTTGTATTGTGCAAACTCTTCAAAGGAAACAGGTGGAAGTAAAACGATTCAGGTGAAAATCTACCTGCACATAGTCACTACATAGATTTAAGTACATCTCAAGCAGGTTTGGCATAAGCATAGATATTGGGATTGGGCAGCAATGATAAAAGGTAAAGGATATGATGTTAAAGACAACGTTAAGTTTGCTATAGATTGTTACTGGAGTAACACTGAGGGAGGAGGAAACATACACATCGCGTTTCAGGATATACGCAAACAACGGGACAAAGTAAAGACTACATGCACCTTACATGACAGTTTACGCATGGTATAGAATTGCTTAGTCGTCATTTTCAACTTCTTTAGCATATTCGTCAGGAGTTGTCTTATATTGTTAGGAACTGTCTTTGAAAGTATACCACCTTGAACCTTAACAAGTTTGAAACGAGGTCTGACAATAG